GGGTTGGAGGAGAGATTCTTCCACCACATGGAGTCACCCACAACCTAGGGTGGGCTCCGGCACTTCACTCTTGAGGGCCCTGTCAAGGGCTGCACCATCCTCATGGCACAACAGTTTTTCCTTGTATCTTTTCTGGATTTCTCTTGTTGTAACTCATGGCCATTGACTCTTGCCCTTCCCAGTGCAAATCTCTGAGGAGAGTCTTGTTCCATCTTCATTTAAATTCCACACACCCTTTGGGAACTGGACAATTAGATCAGCCCTTTCTAACTCTCCAGGCCAAAAATGCCTCCTCAGATGCCCCATGCTCCAGCCCTGGATGATTTTGGTGGACTTCCACAGCTCCCATCCTTTCCACTCCTTGGGGATGAGCCTGTGCCTACCAGGGCTCATTCCATGCAGGAGGGGGCTGGATTCTCAACCACTGTGTCCAAAGCAAGAACAATACCAAAAATACAGGAGAACAAGACCTGAGGGTGTCTTTAACTCTAGGGATCAGTTAAAGAAGCCCTGTTTTGTAGGGTCAGTGCTAGGACAAAGTACTTCAAGATATTTGCCACAAATAAGACACAGGAAGGGCAATCCTGGAAAAATCATCCAGGATCTGGAAGAGAAAAGGGGTCAGCTTGGAAATAAGAAGTAGGATTTGGAGGTGGGATCGTACCTCATGGGCATATAGATCCCTTAGCAGCTGGACCTTGTACCAAAGAGATTCAGGATTGAAAATAAAGCCTTGGAGAAATGGGATGACTGCCCTGTAGAGAAGGCTGGTAAGGGGCAGGATATTACAGGGTTAAAGAGAAAAAAACAGGAATTGCGGGAAGGTGCCTTTGGGAAAGAACATCTCCAGCACTCCGAGTGCTGAGAGGAGGCTGGGAAGAGCACGGACACAGGACATGGAGGAGTGGATGGAGCTGGGCACCAGCCAGGGAATGAATTAGCGGTGAGTACACCACTGTGCAGAGCCCTGGCCTGATGGGCACCACCTCCAAGGACAGCAACGGGCACGGAGGGAGCCGGGAGCTGGCAGTGTCCAGAGATGTGATCTGAGCTGCAGCTTGGCCTGGGGAGGTCCAGCAGGTCTCCCTGCTTCTCCAGCTGCCCAGAAAGCCCCAGCTCACCTCCCTGCTGAGGCTCCTGCCCATGGCGGTGGAAAAATACACATGACAGGACAGAGGGAATGGTTTCCTGCTGCCAGAGGGCAGAGATGGATGGGATATTGGGAATTAGGAATTGTTCCCTGTGAGTGTGGGGAGGCCCTGGCACAGGGTGCCCAGAGAAGCTGTGGCTGCCCCTGGATCCCTGGAAGTGTCCAAGGCCAGGCTAGATGGGACTTGGAGCAGCCTGGGACAGTGGAAGGTGCCCCTGCCAGGGCAGAGGGAGGAATGAGATGATCTTTGAGGTCACTTCCAATCCAAACCATTCCACGATTCCATGCCCACTTTGGCTCAGCATTCCCATGAAATGACTGTCTCTCTGGACCACAACATGAAGTTTCATCAAGGCCCAGGCCCTGAATGAGGGCCTTGTGCACAATCTGAGCATGACAGAGCTTTGTGTCTCACCACGGTGGCCATCCAGGGACCAGCAGTTGCTTGTCACCCTGCCCCAGTCTCCACAGCCGGAGGGAGCCAAGCCCAGGAAGACTTTCCTAACCCTTTCTGCTGGAGAATGGGGCAGCCTGGGCAAGCCTTCAGACAGCTCTACAGGTTAGTGACTACACAGAGACCACAGGAAGTCCCTTGAGGTGAAACCAGGTGGGGACTGGAAAGCATTTGTGGGAAGTATCAGGAACACTCCCCTATTCTTGCATCGCTGCCGTGTCATCTAATTACAGACATGGTTGGAGGCAGCAACCTGGAGCAGCACAGCCACTCTTTCACTCTGAGCAGGCTGTGGCTTGCACCTGGGACATGCTGTCCCCTCTGTTCCCCCCAGTGAGGTCCCTGAAGCCCCCAGCTGGGCAGCAAGGGCCCTGCTTGCACTGAGCTGGGACAGCGGAAAGGACATGAAGCTGGGGCTGTGCCCAGCACTGACTCAGCAGGAAAACCCAGCTTGAGTCACCTTCCCGGAGAAGGAGGAAAGCCACCGGTGCATCACGGCCTGCCACATCCCACAGGCATTGCCAGGTGCAGGAAGCACCTGGGTGCTCAGGAACTCCAGCTGCAGAGCTCCTGCTGGGGCATCTCCGTGCAGGACAGCAAGAGAACCTTGGGCACGTTGGAAGGGGGAAGGAAAAGGGGGACTGAGGAGAGCCCGTGGTGCTCATTCCAGCAGGGAAATGTCTGGCAAAGCTCGTTTGGGTACCTGCCCACTGAGAAGACGGTGGTCTCTCCGGGATGCATCCTGCTTTTGCCCTCCTTGGAGCGCCCCTGGCGCTGCAGCGGGTGCCTCTTCCTCCTGCTGCAGTGGATGCAGGGGGCCTGCGTGGAGCCCAGGTGCACCGTGTGGTGATGTGGTGGGCCCCCGTCCTGGCTGCTACTGTGGGGACAAAGGCTGAAATAGAAGAGGACAGGTTGTGTCACCTCCGAGAGACGTCCTGGTGCAGCCCCACTGCAGCAAGCCCTGGGAGCAGCAGCTCTGGGGGGATCTCTGCTGGGGACAGGAATGAGGAAGAGCTGTTCCACTTGACAAGGGGTGAAGCACTCCTCAAAACCCTCAGGAGAGGGGTGGGAAGATGCTTTGAGGCAGCTGGAAAGGGGCTGCTTGTCCCTCACTGTGGAGTAGCCACAAGTTGCTATGAGCTTCCCTCACCTGGGCACTGGCACTGGCATCTCTTCATTTTCCCCCAACATCTCCTTGAGGGCCTCCACATTTGCTGAAGAGAGAGGGAAAAACAGGAATGCATCAGCCAAAGTGGTCAGTATGGCTCCGGGCCGACCCATGGAAGTGCTCACCTTCATTTTGGATGATGATCTTCACGATCTTCTCCACGGTGTCGTCATTCTTCTCGGCCTCATCTGAAAAGAGACAATGTGGCACTGAGAGCTGGGATTATAGGGCTCCACTCATCCCTTCCCAGGAGCAGCTGCATCAGCAGAGTTGTTGGAGAAGCCTCAAGTCTCCTGTCACACTGGGAAGACACTGGGGAACACCAGATCCCTCATCCTGGAAAAGAAATGGCTGAGCCAGCAGCTGCGTGTGCAGGGAGAGGGGGTTGTGTTGCTCCTTCAGAACAGAGGAGCATCTGGAGAACTGAGATGGAAGCAGGTTCCAAAAAGTCAAAATAGGAGGGTCCTTGCCCAGCCCTGGAGCCCCTGGCTGCAGGATGCTGCAAGTGCTCAAGGCTCCAAGGGTAAACAGGACACGTCCATGGAAAATAAACCCACTGGGACCCACTAAACACAGAAATGGGGAACACAGTGACAGGGAGAGCACCAGGGCTGCACACTATTAAAAGCTTTAAAGACTGTTCTGAGGAATCTTGGCTGGTGCCTGCTTTGTTGTGGAGTTTACCCACAGCTTTCAACTCAACCTGCTTCCAGCCACTGTTGGAGGCAGGAAGGAAGGAAGGAAGGAAGGAAGGAAGGAAGGAAGGAAGGAAGGAAGGAAGGAAGGAAGGATGGATGGATGGATGGATGGATGGATGGATGGATGGATGGATGGATGGACCTCCAGCCTGGTCAGCAGTGTGAGATGTTCCTGTAAGTAGGTTGGAGCTATGGTCTGGCAGGCAGCTGCCTCAAAGGCTCCAGGGCTGGTAGCATGATTTTGGAAGCCCATGGAGACGTGTCCCTGGGCTGTGGTGTCTCCAGAGGGCAAGGCCCTTCCTGGAAGGTTCAGAGACTGTCTCCATGTCACATACAGCCAGGACATGCAGAGGAGCACATCATGGACACCTGGAAGCTCTGGCTGCAGCCATGGATGTGCTGAGGAGCTGTGTTTCCCTCCCAAGCACCAGCAGCAGCAGCAGGAGGTGCTGATCCTCCCCAGCACTGCCGACGGCACATGGGAGCTGGAGGAGTTCTGTGGCACCATGTGGCTGTTCTCAGCCTGGGAAGCAGCCGGAGGAATGAATGTGTGTTCCCCACTTCAGCAGAGACTCAGGAAAGCACCGAATGACAGAGCTCGCTTGGGCCAGGCACCCACGCTCGATGCGGCATTCCCAATCCAGCCACCCCAGAGCCACTTGCAGTGCCCTGAAGCCAGGGAAAAAATTCCCTACAGGTCCCTTCCCCTTCTAGCAACAGCCCTGCTTCTCTGGTGTGCATGAACACAGCAGGGACTAGAAGAAGACATGACCAATAACAAACAGCAGCTGGCTCCCTGCCAGACATCCTAATGGGACCTAATGGGACCGAGGTGCTTGTGCTCCAGCTGGGAGAGGTTTTCCTTGAGGAAACAGGGGTTATGACTGAGATGCTGGGCATTCAGCAAGTCCTGGGTGTTCATCAGAATTACCTTTTGGTGATAACGCTCCTTTGGGAAGGGCCAGGCACTGGTTCCCACCTCCCTGTCACCGCCAGCCGTTGTCAGCTCATGGATCAGAGGGAGCCCTGGCCCTCACACTCCTGATCCCCAGAGAACACCGCGCTGTTCTCACCTCCCAGCCCCTTTTCCCAACGCAGCCACACGTGACAGGTAACCCTCCCAGCCCCATCCCGCGTCCCAGAAGGGTGTATGAGGAGCACCAGCCCACACCAGGCACAAGGCCGAGCCCCCAGCGAGCCCCCACAGCCCCAGCACTCACCATCCTGGAGCTCCTCCACCTCGTCTTTGTCATCTGGGTCAAGATCGTCCCGGAAGGTCCGGCACCGGTAACCCTTCTTCTTCAGGACATGGCAGATCAGGAACCCCACCAGCCCCATGATGAAGAAGACAAGGACAAGGAGGAAGACCACAGTAATGCCGTGCTGGGGGTCTGACTCCCCATCGCTGGGGTGGTGATGGTCTGACATGCGGATCTAGGAGCAGGGGGAAGGCAGGTCAGAGCCGCGGCGCTCACCCCCACCCTGTGCCCATCCTCCCCTTCCTCCCGGGGGCAAGGGGCAGCCCCCAGCTGGGGCGGCTGCCCGGGGCTCAGCCCTCGCCCCGCAAGGTCCGGCGAGGTGCGGGGCCGCATGGAGACAGGAGCGGCCGGAGGTGTCTCCCAAGGACACCGCTGCCCCGCACGGCCCCGGCAAGAGGCATCCCAAGGGCAGCGGCGGCGGCAGCGTCCCCGGGCTGCGGCCCCGGGCTGCGGCGCTCCCCCGTCCCTTGCAGGCGGCTTCCCAAGGGCACCGGTGCCCCGGCCTGCCCGGGGCTCTGCGGCGGGCGGCATCCCCGGCTCGCCCTTGCCGGAGGATGGCCGAGCATCCTCCCGCGGCGCGCCGCTCCCCCGCAGCCCTCGGTACTCACGGCCGAGGCCCTCGCACCGGTACCGGTACCGGCAGCGGCAGGCAGGGAGCCGCGGCGGCCGGGCTGGCGGAGGGCCGAGCCGCCGGCTGCTCCCGCATCGTCCTCCCGCAGAACCGAGCCGGCTCCCTCCGCCCCGGCTCCCTTCCCAAGGGCTCGGCGCCCGCATTCCCACTCGCCGGCTCCGCTTCCCGGCACGGAGAAAGTCCCCCCCGCCTGTCCCCCGGCCCCGCTGTGGCGGTACCTGGGCCTGCGGTCCTCCGCAGCGCTCTCCTCACCTTCACCTTCACCTTCACCTGCCGCCTAGCAACCCCGCATCCCCGCGGCCGGGGACGGCGGCGAGCATCCTCCGGCCCCGGGCCCCCGCTCCCTGCCTGCCTTCCCCGGGAGGGAGCCAGCTGCCTCTGCCCGCCGCTCTCTGCCGCTCTCTGCCACAAGAGCACCCGCCTGTCCCGATCGCAGAAAAAAATCTCCCCGGAGCTGTTTCGGCGGAGGAAGCTGCGGAGAGGAGCTCGGGGGTGCCGGAGGCTGCAGCAGGACACGCAGGAGCGCTGCTCAGGGAAGCTGCCAGGCTGCCGCCCGCCCCGGGGTGAACAACCTCACCCGCACGCGTGCCAGCCCCGAGCTCCCCTGGCACCTTCCTTTCCTTGAATTTTAGGGCACTGAGCCCTGGCGATGGGAGGGAGAAGGGTGGGAGTGGGGCTCAGTGAGAGCAGGACTGATCACACAGCAGCGTGTAGGGGGGAGAGGGGTGCAGACCCCCACACGGCATCCCAGCACCGAGGAGAGGGTGGAAAAAGAGCCCCGGGAGACTCCTGTGTCTCCCTCCTTCCTAGAAAAGAGCCATCTGAAATCTCATGCTGTGGTGATCCCATGACCTCCTTCTCCATCTCCACCACATTATCCTCGCTCTGGGAGGCTTCGCCCACCACTCCTTTGCTACTGGAAATTAGACCCACTCCTCTCCATCCTTCAGCCACCTGCCGGTTCTCCCCCAAACCGTGAGGAATGCAACCCTTGAAACCCCTCCCAGCCCATCTCCATTGAACCTAGCTCAGATCCATGCACACATTCCTCTGTGGGAATTATCCCATGGGAGTTATCCCACCACAGCAGTTTGCCTTGCTGTGACACAGCCTGTGACTCCTCCAGGCTCTCAGCTGAGGGCTCCTGTCCCTCTGCACAGGTGACCAAGTTGTCTCTCAGGAGCCTGTTCCATCAGTGTGACTTCAGGAGGTCACCACATCACAGGTGACACTCATCTGCCCGCTGTCCTGACAGGGACACAGCAATGGAACTTCTGTGCAAGAACAAGACTTCTCCTCCTGCCATGGATCTCTGAGCCACAGGAGAGGAGAGCTCTCAAACCCTGGACCAACAAGCTGCTGCATCATGCAAGTCTCTGCTGAGGAAGAGCTCGCAAAGTAAAGCTCAAAGGCAGTTTGCTCCTTGCCCTTGTTTCTGTGCAGAGGGGGAACTGGCAGCTCTGGGTTCCTGCAGTGCCCTGAGGGGATGCAGTCATGGTGAGCATATTCCCGTTCTCTTCATGCCCACGCACGCTGTCCTGCACAATAAATCGCTTTTTCTCCTCCTGGGCATTCCCACCCACCCAGAGCATTGCTGCACCCTACCCACTTCCAGCACCCTACCCCCTTCCAGCACCCTATCCCCTTCCAGGTCCTCACCCCCTTCCAGCTCCCTGCCCCCTTGTCCCGATTCCAGCCATGCCAGGCTGATCAGAACTCCCCATTCAAGGGGACATTCCCATTTTCCCACAGTCTCTGGCATCAAGGCATTTCCACAAGCTGGGGGACACAGCGTGGCACAGCAGCCTGGCCCTGCCTGAGGACAAATCCTGGCCTTCGTGGGGTGAGCCAGGATGAGGAGGGGGTTCTGTGGCTGTCAAGCTGCTCCCTCCTGGATCACCCCAGCTGAGTGTTTCTCTTTCTAATTCTCCCAACCAGGGATCACCTGCTCCCAGTCTCTGTGCTGCTTCCACCACCTCAGCTTCAGTGTCCCTTCAGGGGCTCTGTCCTTGTCCTTCTGTGGGACCCCATTATCACTTTAATGGTCCCACACAGCACCTCGCAAACACAAACACCACCCTGGCACCTCTCTGCCCCAAAAGCAGCCAGCATTTGAGGCATGAATCCACACAACAGAGTTCCCCTTCTGAGTAGGCAGTTCATCCTGGCCGTGTGGGGACAGAACCCACATGGGGCAAAGCCCCACACCAAGGCAGGGAGGTGCAGCTGTGGCTGGGGCCTGCCTGCTCATGGCTCATCCAGTCTGGGCTCTGCATCCTCTGTCCCTCCTGACCCCATCCCTGCTCCTCTGCCATCCTGTGTGACCCCACCAGCCGAGGCAGTGGGTCTGAGACACAGGACAATCTGACTGGAGCTCTGGGATAGGCAGCTGCCTTCTTTCTGCCTGCTCACCTCATCCAGCAGCACCAGCTGGAAGAGGAGGTTACATGGTCCGGAACGTGGCACGGTGCTGGTGAGTCCCCTCTGCCTGCCCGGGGCACTGCTTGGGCACTTCTGTGGGAGTTGTCCCTGCATTTCCCATGTCCTGAGCTCCTCTTTTCCCATGTTTTCAGGACTTATGAAACGTCCTTGCTCGTGGATGAACCAATTAGTGACGAGCTCCCATACAGTGGTAAGTTGGAGTTGCCTTTTTTCCTCATGAACTCAGCTGAAATTTTTGGCATGTTTTATTCTGCATTGACCAGGGCCAACATGTCAGCACTTCTTGACCTTGGAGATGGCCTTAGCCATGCCTGGAAGTGTCCAAGGCCAGGTTGGATGGGGTTTGGTCTAGTGGAAGGTGTCCCTGCCCATGGCAGTGGGTTGGAATGAGATGATATTTAAGGTCCTTTCCAATCCAAACCATCCCTTGCCCTTCCTTCCCAGGTCCCCTCTTGGGGCTTCCCTGAATCCTGGAAGTCCTTGGAGGCTTTACTCCCTCTCTAGGCATTGCCTGGAAACACTGAAATTTTAAGCTTTGGAGGCTTGGGAGGAAGGGGACAGAGTGGCTGAGGAGAGGCTGGTGGGAACAGTGCTGTCACCCATCACCCTGTCCCTCAGCTGGCCCCAGCCCCAGTGAAATTCTACATTACCTCTTGTCTGCTCTTTTCCCGCACCTCTTCCGCAGCCGTTGGAGCAAATGTCACCCCACAAACAATGTGACCACGTCCTTTTGGGGGATCAGCCACTCTGGCCCCGCTGCTTGTCCATGTGGCAGCTAAACGGGCTGGAGTGCCCAGATCCAGGCTCATCTTGGGATCTTCACTTCAGTGCTCAGCCCAAAAATTGTCCTGACGTCTGCAAAGCTGCTCCATGCCATCGTGTCAAACATGTCCCTGAATCCTCAGCCTTGCTTCAGCTTTCCAAACATGCCCAGCAGCTAATGGCCGTTAAACCACAGCCTGCTTCTTCTCTCTGAGCACAAAGAGCATCTAAAAATATCCCTCTCCAACGCTTCCCTTGCTCTGCTCCAACACCCGTGAAGATGCCCGGAGCAGCACCCGGCTTCCAGAAGGAGAGCTCAGGCAGCAGAGTGATCCCAGCTGGAAGCAGGGCCGTGTCTCTGCTGTCCTCGAGCAGGGATGTGTCTCTGCTCTCTCACCCCGTCCCCAGGCAGGCACTGGGACATGCTCCCCGGTGGCTCCGTGTCCCCAGCCAGGCGTTATCTGGTGGCAGCAGCTGGTGGAGCAGGGACAGGACAGTCGTCATGGGGAGCACCGTCAGAGCTTTGGGAGCTCCCAGCTCAGCCGTGCTGCTCAGCACGTTGAAATCTGGGTGATTTCCTGCAGCAATGTATCTGAACTGAGGCCTCAGCGTGCACCGGCCACCCAGCTTGTAACTGTTCTCACCAGAGTTTTCTCAGAACCCGCCAGAATCCATCAAGCTTACTAAGACAGAAACTGTGCTAAATAAGAAAGAAGAAGCTGAGAAACAGAATTCCAAATAACAGCAGCAAAGCACCTGGACTGTGATCAGTCCCAGATTCTGAGAGGTGCAGGCAGAACACGTGGACAAGACAAAAGAACCGATAAGAAATGTGTGACCAGTGTGTGCAGTGGAGTTAGAATATATAAATAAGTGCATAATAGAAACAACAAACAGCTTCTGCTTAATCACACTGGTCAGTTGTCCAGGAGTGCTGAATTTCCCACGCTGGGTGCTGGGCTCGGTGCCAGGTGCTCTCTCTGAGTGTCCCCAGGTACAGCTGTGCCCTGCGGGGTCACAGCGAGAGGTCCTGGGTCTCCTCTGGAAGTGTCCTGCCCCTGGCAGGGGATTGGAATGAAATGATCCTTAAGGTCCCTTCCAATCCTATCCCCTAAACCATCCTGTGATCCTTGCCCCACGCTGGAGCTGGGATCCTGAAAGGAAACCAGCCAAGGAGCGGTGTGGAGGGAGCAGTGTCCCCGCAGGGGGGGCAGAGGCAGCCAGAGCTATCCTTCAGTGACCCCACCACTCCATCCCACCCTGACTCCTGCAGCCAGCACAGCCCCAGAACCCCCGGCCATCCCGCCATGCCCCATCCCATACAGGCGGGCAGCTCCTCTTGCTGCTTCCAAGGGGTTGCCATCCCCTGGAAATCCCAGCCTGGCATCCACTGAGATGCCAGGGAATGCCCTGGTGCCCATCCTCAGGCAGCTCTGGGGGTCCTGCCCGTCTCTGAGACCCGCTGGGTTGAGGAGCCTGTCTCCAGCACAGCTTCCCTCATCCCAAACTGCAGGAAGCCTCAGGCAGGAGGCTGGCAGGACCAAGCATGGATTTTGCCTTGGTTTTCCAAGCCTTTGAACAAGGCTTCATGCTCTGTCTGTCCTTCCTCCTCTCCAGCCCCCATGGAGCAGGTTTGTGCTGCTGTTCCCAGCCAGCCCTGCTCACGCCATGCTCCTGTTTCCATCCTTTGTCAGCTCCAGCTTTCCCCATTCTGCTTCCTCCTGACATCCAGCAATTTCCCACCCAGCTTTTGTCCTCCTCCCGCCTGGCGCTGCTTCCAAAGGGTTCTTGCCAAAGGTCTGGAGAGCCTGCACTTCCCAGGGTGGCACCTGGTGACAGCTGGCAGGGGCAGGTCCCCATCCTTCAGGGACTGGAATGGAACGAGTCCCATCAGGGCGTGAGTGTCCCATGGAAACCCCCCTGCCCATCCCCTGTGCCCCGGGAGTGGGGACTGGGGTGAAAGGGGGGCCTGGGAATGACTGGGAGTGACTGGGAGTGACTGGGAGTGACTGGGGGCCAGCTGTGGGCCTGGAGAAAAGAATCCTGTGGGCAACTGGGATCTGCCAGGGGTAACTGGGAGCAGCTAGCAGTAACTGGGATCTGCCGGGGAGGTAACTGGGAGCACTGGCAGTAACTGGGATCTGCCGGGGGGTAACTGGGAGCAGCTAGCAGTAACTGGGATCTGCTGGGGAGGTAACTGGGAGCAGCTAGCAGTAACTGGGATCTGCCGGGGAGGTAATTGGGAGCACTGGCAGTAACTGGGATGTGCTGGGGGGGTAACTGGGAGCAGCTAGCAGTAACTGGGACCTGCCGGGGGGGTAACTGGGAGCACTGGCAGTAACCGTGATCTGCTGGGGGGGTAACTGGGAGCACTTGCCAGTAACTGAGGGTAACTGGCAGTAGGAGAGGGGCATGAGGGATAACGGTGGGAGCTGAGGATGAGCAGGGAGATGACACGGGGTTACCGGAGAGAGCCCAGCCGGTAACTGGGACAAG